TCTTGGATCACAGCTGTACAAGAAGTAAAGCAAGCAATCTGCCTTTCCTAAATGAGCCAATGACAATCTATTATTAAATGTAATTTACTGGTAAAAAACCCAATGCTTCTCCATTGGCCTATACCCAGCTGGAAGAACAGGGTTGCAAAGAACAACTTTCTCCAATTTGGCACTTCTATCAAGAAATGCCTCTGCCTGTGCAGAAACAGATCAAGTGGTCCAAATCAGAACAATTTTATCGGAAGAACAAAAAAGTTCCTCAGTTGGCAGGGATATGATCAGACTTGTGGATGGACAGATGGGATTAATAAAGATATCCATCAACAAAAAAGAGTATTCAAAGTCATCAATACTCACACTTCATTTATTGCAGATCATTCATAAATGCAGATGACTCTGAGGGCAAAGACACAGCAGAAGGCTTTTAGGGCTTTTGTACTGATTGGTGAGTGCAGATGGTTGTAATTAATAAACTATCAAGAGAGATTAATAGTACCCACAACCATCTTCTGAAAATCTACAGTTTCGTTAGTCCAATGAAAGACCATGAAAACTGTTCCCTTACCTTAGCAAGAAAGAACGTACTAACTTCAAACCCCAGCAGACAGTGATTAGTCTAACACACAGCTATAATTTGCCCAACTCCCAATTTCTAATCCTAATCCAAACTCCAGATCTGGTCAGTTGTTTGACTTGAGCACGTAGCCATCTAAAATATTTCCATGATCATTAAGGTCAGTATGAAACCCTGAACCAGCTCAGAACAGAATTTTATGGGGGTGGTCAAATTACCAAGAACTTTCAACCTCAGGAACTAAAGTGAGCTTGGCTAGCTTCCATTATGAGTACAGGTAACCCCCACTTAAAGCTGTTTCACTTAGCGCTATTTTGCTATAATGGTCATATGAAATCGATCCCTGATTTCACTTAGTGCTCACCGAGTTTTGTTATAAACACTCGCAGTCGTCATCTTGGGTCATTAAAAACAATTGTGGTCACCACCTTGGGTTGTCAAATACTTCCGGTTTCACTAACGCTCAGTTTTTCAGAAACCAATTAAGAGTGCTAAGCAGGGGTTGCCTGTATAGGAAACGCACATTTCAAGCATTTTCCTGGTTTTCATGCCATAAGTGTAAGCTAACAGGTGTGAAAGGAAGAAATAAATTTATTAAACAACAGCATTTTTGGGATTTATTTGCAGTAGATGGTAATTGGCATTCCAGGAACGACTACCATCCCACCACAGCAACGAGATTGTAAATTTCTTGTAAAAAGTGGCAAGGGCAATAGTTTAGCACTCAGCAGATCAGGGAGGGAGCAGGGAGCAGAGCAACAAAATCAAGGAAAAGTCAGGGAACAGTGGGAGCATCTACAAGTGAGCTTTGTGTAGTTACACTAGTTAACTAATTAGCTCCTCAGTAAAGCATCACTGTCTACACGTGCAGTGCTATTAGGTTCGAAAAAACAAATTAACTCCTTCATAGGATAGTACTGCCTGACAAGTACTATCCTATGATGGAGTTATTTAGTGCACTGCAACGCACGTATAGCTAGTGACCAGGGCTGGCTTGGGCACAAGGTTGCTACAATGTGGGGGCTGCCTCCCAGCTAGCCCCACACTGTATCACTCTTATGCCCTAGCCAGTCCCTCTGCAGCACACTAAGCCAGGGCACAGCAGCTCTAGGCTGGTAGGCTGACACCCCCCACAGACCACCTGCCAGCTGGGACCTCAATGTGTTGCAGTCCTGGGCACCTATGTAAACTCTGCACCCGGGAGCAATAAATTCCAATGCAAACTGCATTGGAGTTTATTCAGCCACGCTAATTGCATGTGTAGATGCGCCCAGGGTGGCACATCAGGCAGGGAGTAGAGTTTAACTTGTGGCACATTTGGACTGGACTTGTGGCGTGCCTACCAAAAAGTTGGCCACCACTCTTAAAGTATTTGAAAGCAGAAGGAATGCTGCTTTTTTCTTTTTGTTTTGTTTGATGTTTATCAGTTAAATACCTCATTTAGCTTTTTAGAAGTTGGAATACAGTAAAGACTTCAGTTTTTAGAAATGCTGCAATTAATATTATTATTGTGTATTCCCACAGTTATTACATAAACTTTAAAAATGCCTTTTAAGAAGAAAACCATTTTGCTGTCCCATGGCTGAATCCTGCAATTGGAGGTAGGTCCAGGAGCCATCACAGAGCTTGACAAAAGCCTTCATAGCTCTGAGTGACCAGGAGAAACCATATGCATAGTGTCTACTGAAAGACTAAGACCCACCTTTATTAGAAAAAAAACACACTGAGAGAAACAGGCTATGAATTCTTCTAGAGGAGGAGTTTGCAAGACTTACTATAACTAGAGAAGTTCGTAACAAACTATTTTAGCGAGTGGCTAAATGATCTAGGTGTATGCAAGTTTCTGTGGATGCAAGAAATCCTGGGTTCAAATTCCAACTGATCTCACAAGGAATAAGGGGGCTGGGCCCCTTCCTTTTAAAAAATGGAATCTGAATAAGTATTGGACATGTATGATGATTCAGGACTCAAAGCATCCCTACATTTGTGTAGGGGATTGGACCAAAAGATGCTTGAGATCCTTTCCAACCCTATGATTTTATATATTCCTGTTTAAAACAAACTCCTACATTAACAATTCCAACAGCAGAAACTGACTTACCAGCCCTGTTACAGCCAAGCCCTTCTTTTAATGAACTTGTCTTGTAGTCCCATGGAAGTTCATTAAAAGGGATTGCATTGTATTCAATTTTTATAAAAGCTAGCTGATAGGCATTTATGAACATCCTACATTGAACAGAGGTGGTCTTTAAAAGGATAATGTATAACCTATTGGTATTAAAACCTGCATCATCTTAATTTGCAAGTCCTATGAGGAATGTGGCAACTACAGTCTAGCAAAACTTGTTCTCTACCTTGCTTTAAAATTTCAGTGCTAAATGGTAAAGCCTGATTAGTAGCTGTGGTAACTGAAGTCAGGATCCAAAGAGAAGTTACATCAGAGGCCAGTAGTCAATTGTGTAACAAGAGGGAGCGAAAGGGGTACTAGCCCTGGGTACCAACTTAGGAGGGGTGCCAGAATCATCCCCCCACCCCCATGGAGTCTGTGCCCCAGCAACAATAGCAGCCCCACAGTGCTGCTTAAAAACAAAAGCGAGAACCAGGGCTAGCAGAGCATACGGTAGCTGTGGTTTTGAAGTTTCCAGCACGGGTAAGACACCTGTGCCCTCGAGGCCTCCCTGCTCTCAAAACTGCATGCGTACCACCTCCCAGCTCCTAAAACCCACTCATGCCCCCACCTCACTCTTGGAACCACACATCCTTCCCTGCTGTCTCATAGGATTTGCCCAGGGCACAAACTCTGTTCGTCTGGAGGCGGCAGCAACTTCACAAGCTTATCAGTGAAACTGCCATGCCAGTGCACCTTCTGACCTGGAGACTGTCACCTCTAATGTTTAGGTTCAGTTTCCACACCACTTCAAACCTTGGCTCCCTTATTGTAACCACTGTTAGTTCACTGTTAGTGGCTCTCTCTATAACTAGACAGGCTGTGCTCGTTTTCAAATAGTACTGTACAAGCAAAAGACATAATTGCCTGTTTATACACTTCCAAAATTTATGCTTAATACAACCTAAACTCATTTGTTTGTTTTTCTATAATGCTTCTATATCCAGCACCACTTTCTGTTGGCTAGTATTTTTTATTAATCAGTAAAACACAATGTATACTTCAGGATCTATAAAAGAAGAACCTGAAGATACACCCATTCAAAATATTTTGTCAGATTTTTTTTAAAGGGGAAAAAAATACCACTTTTGGACTCAATAGATGTTTTCCTAAAAAAAAAAAGATATCTTTTCCCCTACTGTTTTTTTTAATTTTAATTTATTTATTTATATTTTTGCAGAGACTTTCATTTTAAAAAAGAAAAAAAGGATTTTGGAGAACAGAAGACAAGAGAGAAAAGCTGATTCTTCATTTTCCACTATGAAAAGCAAAAAATCCAGATATGAAAAAATAATATTTTAAACATGTCATGGACTATAAATACATTTTTGTCCAGCTCTATCATTAAGAAAATTACAGCCGGAAACTTTATTAGTAGTATGAATGCTCTTACCAGAAGCCCAGTTTAACTTTCAGATGGCTGGCTGTGTTTGCAGGGCTGGCACTTAGTAAAAAATGTTTTATTTTTTTACTTAGTTATATTTCACACAAAAGTCACTGAAAGGCAATGAATATAACTTTTTTACAGTATCTCTTTAGAATATAACTACACTTTAAGTAGAGTGCACAATATGTTATTTTCTTTAGGTTACACTCAAAGGCAAGCTGCAGTCAGTCTAAAAGGTAGAACAAAACACTATTGCAGAATTCTAGAGGTCCCTGCTAAGAAACACCACCAGATAATAGACGTAACCTTAAAAATGACATTTTCAAGGCCTGGCTCAGATTAGAGGCTAAATTATATGCTGAAGAAAATAAGTATGCACAGTATCCCAATGACATGCTTACAGTACAGCAAAAAAAGCAACAGACTATTGTGTTAAGTAGAAATGAAAGTTAAGTGGTAAAATAGCCCAAATCAATTAGGATCAACACTGAAACAGTTGATCCTAATTACTGAAACCAAGTATTTATCTTTGCTTCTTTAATTACATGGTGATGTTCTAATGTCCATCCCCGAATAGCAGTTCTAAGGCCTGGGGTGCTAATTACATGCAAGTCATCTAAAGCTTTTAAGAATGTTGAGCATAAATCTATTTTAATCCAACTATTGTTGTTCTACTCATTTCTCACCATGCAAATATTTATTATAAACATGCTAAAACAAATACTTAACCCTCCCAACTATCAATAGTTCAAACTGCAACTATTTGCAAGATGCTTTTTTGGATGCTTAAGAGCAAACATATCACAATTAACTCTGAAATGAAAAAAGCAAAACAAAAAGAAGTTCATGCAATCTTGGAACTTGCTACTAACCCTCTTGAGCTGTTGCTGTAATTGCTCCCTCATGGACTCAGGGCAATTATCAAGTTGGGTCTTCTGCTCGGAGTAAAGCTCCTGAAGCCTCTCTAGTTTTTCCCTCTCAGCCTCAAGCTTTATTTTTTCCTGAAGTACGAACCAGAAGATAAAGAACAAGATTACCTTCAAACCCAAGAAGCTGTTAGTGATTAATCACGGTGGACACCAACATCTTCATTAAAGTTCTCTGGAAGCCTAAACATGTAGTTCAAAGGTAGACAGCTCTCCTGTTAGTAGAAACAATAATCATGGGACGTAAAGGTGACAGAAAACAAATGTTAATCACCACAGTAGAACTGTTAAGTCTGTTCCTAATCACTATTTTTGTAGATAGGAAAAAACACTTCTCTAATCACTATACTCAGAAGGAAATGGCAATTCTTGACCCCATCTTTCCAGTAGTGTCTTACCCAGTGGAAAAAGGTGAGGCATGTTAAATGGAGAAAAAGTGAAAAAGTGCTTTTACTAAAAGAGATCCAGATGGAAGCATGGAAGAAAAGACTCCCCCAGTGAGTATGCCACTTGTCTCCTATCTCGGGGGGAATAAGTACATTTAGCAAGCAGAAAAAAATGGCACAAAGCAGGGTATAGCTAAGAAATTTGTTTGCGGAGAAAAAAAGTTCCAACAACTCTATCTCAAATTGAGCCAGCAAGACTCATCCTGTACAACGCTGTAGGTGCATCTACATGTGAAAGCAACGCAACGCAGTAAATTCCAGTGCAGTTCAAGCTGGAGTCAGCTGCTGTCCAGACCAGTGTGTATACATGTGCCTGGGACAGGAGCAGTTTGAGCCAAGGTGGAGCAGTCCCAGGCTGGCAGCAGGCTTGGGGAGTCAGCCCCAGGCTGCAGGTGGTAGCACTGGGTGGCAGAGAAGCCAGCTGAGGCACAAGAGTGCTAAGGAGCAGAACCATGCAGCAGACAGGTCCCATACCTTAGCATGTCCCAGCCAGCCCCTGTCACCATCTACAAGTGAGTTTCATTGCACTTAGTTACTCCGTCATAAGACAGTCCTGTCCCCAACAATACTATCTTACAGAGGAGTTAATTAATTTACTGCACCCTAATACCAGCGCATGTGTAGACAGTGTTCATTAATGTGCCTTAGAGACTTCACATTTAGCTTAGTATTCCTTAATAAAGTACTAACTAAATGTGCAATACCTAGAGTTCCTGAGCAGTAGCACTGGCCAACAGTTTTTTAGTGAGGCTTACTGTGCCTTAATCTAATAACACTGTGCAGTAGGCTATTAGCAGTATTTTTGCCGTGACATGCTACTGCACAGTGTTATTAGGCTAATACACATTAAGTGTCTCATGTAGATGCACCTGGTGATGTTTTACTGTGGAGCTAATTAGTCTATCCCACAGTAAAGCGCATGTGTAGATGCACCCTGTATCGTGTATTCTGGGGATGCTTTACATATTCCTCTCTCAAATTTCCAGCACATTCCATTGTCCAGTCTCCTTTTTGTTTCACTACAACAGGATATATATATATATATATATTTTTTTTTTTTTTTTTTTTTTTTTTTTTTTTTTTTACACGCACTGGTAATTTACTTGCATTAGCATTGGCCAATATACTTGGTGTTTGCCTCAAAGCTTCTTTGTGACATGTTGCTAAAAATAAGAGTGTGAATATAGCCAGGACTTTTTAACACTTTCTGTAGCCATCTATTAATCAGAGAATCATGCAGATGTTACTACAATACTGCTTCTCCCCTTCCAAAACTGTCCTCTGGAGGGCTTCCATTTCTTCTTCATATTAGAAGCGCTAAACAGTTCTACCCTCTTCCTTTGGTATTTATAAAAGCAGTCATGCTCCCAAAGCATCTACTCATTTGCTTTCTTCTCCATCTAGATTTTTGAGATGCATCTAAAAACAAGCCCCTCATTTTAGCTCCTGCTCACATCCAGGTTTTATGGACATATTACACCCACATCTTCGTTGGCAGTGAGCAGACATTTCTCTCATTGCACATTCAGGGGCCATGAATGCTTTTTGAATTCTCATTTTGTACTGTATTTTCTTGCATAAAATACATGCTCCTCCCCTCCCCCAAAAACAGCTGCTGGACATTGTAGCGCAAGATATATGCAAGAAATATGATAAGAACAGTTTCTGTGGGTGACTTACAGGGAGCAGCAGAACAATCTGCTCCCTAGCTTCTGCTTCTAGGACAGATATTTTCTGCTTCATTCTGCTTTTCAAAACCAAAGTGCATATTATATTTGGAAGTGTTATAGTTGGGACACTGTGGTATTCTCTCCTGTAAAAATGGGGTAATTTTCACCTTTTTGAGACTTAGGATTCCCCAATAATGTCAGAATCCAAGTCCAATGTAAAATGAAACAATCAAAGCTAGAATAACTTCTATTAGCTCAGTGTCTTAGCCCTGCATTACCTGTGATTTTTCCACAAAGAATATTTTTTGCAAAAACTGGATATTGAACCAGTTTATTTTGTCATCTGAATTTCACATACCCCGTCTTCTCAAATGGCAGAGACAGAACTCAGAAGTAATGTAAGGACATAACTTCATTCAAGTTACACAATGGAACAACAGCATATAGTTTGGAAGCAAACCCAGATGACAACTCACAGATCTGTCATAATCAGTATGCATTAGTCCCTCTTCTCATTTTTCAGCTATCTTGAGATCAAACTTGTTCCAAAGCAGTCAGTGACACCTCTGGCCCCGACAGTGGACAAAGTACCTCCACTCCTGCTTCACCCTATTTTCAGCCCTTTATAAAACTACCTATTTTATACAGCTAAATCCATACCTTTCTAACCCTCACTTTCAGTTTTGCAATAATCCTAGCCCATCACATGGAGATGGGCAAGAAGAGAAAAACCTACAGCACTAACAAATTTTCCAACCTCTACTTTAGTGCCATTACTCTCAAGTTATTAATAGCTTCTTGGATAGCTAGGCAGCCTGGCAAGCATATGATCTCATTCAATAAAAAGCAAGTCAATCTAGTGTGAAGAGACATCAACAGCAAGTGGATAAGCTTACTGAGGACCATGCCAGAGAGAATCTTACTTCCATCCAGAAATCAGAAAGGTATTCCTTTAAGACTGAAAAGGAAGCAATACCCACCTCTTCCACTTATAACTCAGAAAGTGGAAACATCCCAGCAAGCTGGCTCCCTTTAAAAAAACTGCAATCATAACAGTGAATGCCATTCTAGAGCCGTTACGTTCTGCTGCAGTTTAGTGAAGTCAACCAGAACTACTGACTGCATTGATTTAGTTCACATACTTCATAGTCTTCATTCCAAAACTAAATTAAGCACAGCCTAGATAGTCCTAATCAATATCCAACTCTGCATAAGAGAAGGAAAGCCTTGCCAAACTATCCATTCTGTGCCATATTTACCTTCTACTGTGCATACACACCCACCATCAATTAAAACTGCAGATGCACATGTATATCTGTGGGCAGAATTAGGGCATTTAGGAATGCTTTTTGAACAGATAGTTTTGCTCAGTATTTAATTATTATGAAATAGGAATCACGTGATAATAACATCTAAATAGTTATGTATTTAGATGTATTAAAGAAGGAAAGAAAGAAACTCTCCTAAGGAAAGTGACCACCTGAAACACTTAAATGTTTCTGAAAACTATCAAGTGTCTTCCCCTACCAATGTATTCAAGATAGAAATCTAGATCTAAACATTGATACACCCCTCTGTTTTGGTGGTGCTGAAAGAAAAAGCTTGATGCCTTTCCTTTAGGCCAACAGATGGGAAAATGGGAGATAGAAAAGCTGGGAAGAAACTTAAGAACAACTACAACCGGAGAGTTATAAAAAGGCCACATTTTCTCACTGGAATGCATGACTGGGGTAAAAAAGTCCAACTCAACTACCTTACAAAAATAAGGTTCTCTTTCTTTTTATTTCCAAGAGAAACAACAAATAAGAAAAATAAACAAACTACTAGTCACTCAGTAGTAAACACCTTCGCTTCTAAAGTTAGCTTTTCTACTAGAAATGCTCCAGTCTAGAATACCTCAGGCTACATATGCATCAGTCAGCAGTTCAGCCTCATTTAACTCTATGCTATGGTAACAGGTTTTATATAAAAGATCAATTAACCCTCATACTTTGCACCCTGTCAAACATGAAAGTACTAATCTAACCATCTCTACCAGACCTTTCTCACAAGTAAGCAAAAAACAACATGGATCTATATTCTGAATGGAGCCAGAAAACCTTAAGTGCAGCCCTATAGAGCCTCCCGCTCACTTTATGACCAGATGGAGAAGTGTCAAAATAGCTTGCCAGCTATCAAACAAAGAGAAATAATACTACAGACATACACGCATGTCTGTCTGAGGATGAGAGGTAGAAGACTTTGCCCTATCCATCAAATAAAATCATTCTCTGCAGCATTGCTTTCTGGTTACTTCAAGGACAGAAGGGGAAGCTCTCTCTTTAGTGACTTACTAATAATACAGCTACCATACCTATAATTAATTGTTTGGAATATGTTGGCAGCAATCCTCCAGCTAGATAGCAGGGACAGACAAGAACATACCCCTCAAAAGCAAAAATAATAGTACTGAGAAAAGGTTAAATTTATGGCTTGACAGCCATTCCAGTACCTCTTTGACATATTCTCCAGAATTGGAAACATTTATAATATTGTGGCTGTTACTCAGGAAATAAATATGACTAGTTAGAAGACAAATACAGGGAAGAAGTGAAATAAACTCAATAGTATACAAGTCATACTTGCTGTTCTTTTTACATTCCATGCCCCCCACCCCTGTGTTTTCCACACTCCTCCCTGAGAGGAGAAAAGCAGCACAGTAGCTGATAAAAACATAAAAGCTGATGTAATTTAACCAATACTGCTAAAGGACAAGGCTATCGCTGAGGGCCTCCTTAGACCTTATGCTGTAAGCCAAATAAATGTTAAATCTGCTTACTGGAGCAGTCACATGGTGAATGAAAAACCATCCCTGAGTATCCTTCATCTGCACAGCTTTGACTTAGAGGTTTGGTGAGCAAGAGTAGGACTAGGAACAGGACCCGCTCACTCACCTGCCAGACAGAGAGCAGACCCACCA